GGCAACATGCCCAGATTCAGCTGCCTTGTTGGCACTGAGTAGCTGCTTGTGGAGAGCTTGTGCCACGTCTTGTTTGGAAGGCGGGTCTATGTGCGGAGGGACTGTCTTCTCCAGATGTGGTCCAGCCCCAGCACGTTAATGCTCAGACTCAGAAAGAAGGTGGTTTGGGCAGAGGGTGATTTGGATGCAATTCCTATAGGTCAGGATTCCTGGCGGAGGGATTGACATGGTGTGAACTCTGCCCAGTAGCTGGCAGCAGATACCAAAGAGGATTAAGCAAAAGTTTTACTGGCAGGCAGCCAGGAGGAAATGTTACACACGTGCCGACATGCACATAAGACCCTTTTGTCCTTTCCCCTCCTTGACCACACATTCTCTCCGTTCCCAAAAGGGGGTCCTCAGACCTGGCTGCAAGGAAGGGACTGCTAGACCTATACGTAGATCCAGAGCCCCCCCACCCAACCAATCACTGATATATATTTTCTGTTAGTCGTGGGAGTTCTGTGTGCCATATTTGGTTCAATTCCATTATTGGTGGAGTTCAGAATGCTCTTTGATTGTAGGTGAACTATACATCCCAATAACTACAACTCGCATATGTCAAGGTCTATTTTCCCCCAAGAGCGCCTCAAGAGCGCCCCTGGGCAAAATCAACTCTACTGCAAATGCTTACTTTGCGTAATGGGTTGAGCCGCCCCTGCGTAGATCTTGACATCACCTTTCATTCGCAACGTTAAATATGGATCTGTCTAGGTACTTAATGCTTCTCCTGTAGAGGTTATGTGAAGTGCCAGCTCCATACCTCTGACTATTTTGATTTGGCAGGGATAGATTGATAGGTACCGCTCCAACGGGAAGATAATGGTGCTCCATGTAGTCATGCTGGCCACATGACCTTGGAGGTGTCTACGGACAACGCTGGCTCTTCAGCTTAGAAATGGAGATGAGCATCAACCCCCAGAGTCGGACATGACTGGACTTAATGTCAGGGGAAAACCTTTACCTATACCTAGTCTCAAAACAAGATAGATATTGCCAAGAGTTCTGCTTTTCAGACATGTTTCTTCCTCTTTCTCTTCTCTGATGCGTGTCCACTGAAACAAGCAGGTCCCACCTGCCTTCCTTTAAAGTTCTGCTAACTTTTAGCCTAATTCCGAGAGCCTTCAAGGTATCAGGGAAATATTGTTACATTCTTCCCGCTAGCCTTGGCTCTTGCATTCCTAGGCTAAAAATACCCTGCTTCTTCAGCCCTTTCTCATATGATCTGGCCTTCCACGTGTCAGCATCCTTGTGGTGTTGTGATGCCCACAACCAGCCCCCACTCCTTCCTCTTTCCCAGGGCTTTGTCATGCTGAATAGCATTCCTTATGTTGCTCCGGGGTGCTTTTGAGGTGCAGCAACATCATATGGCTGACCCAGCTTTGTATGCATTTTTTGGCTGTTAGCCTGCAATCCTTGTAGAAAAGCTGGCTCTTGCCTATTCTTTTCCCCTCCCAACACAGCCTCTACTGTGTAAGTGCCAAAAAGAAAGGTTGGTTTGAACCACAGTGATTCAAGTCAAGTTTGATTACTTAGTATTTCCATCAAAGTTTATGTTCAGTACCTGTTGGCTCACACATAGTTTTCTATTTTCCCAATTTGCAAAGGAGAGTCCGAGTTAATCCTTTGATGTCCCGCCCTTTCATTTGCTTTAAAAATGACTCAGTTTCTCTTTCTTCTTCTCACTTTCTCCCTTTGACCTCTGCTCATTTTTGTAGCCATCTTACTTACTTACTTAGGCGATCCCTCGTTGGCCGAGTAGGATATTCTTCCAGGAGTAGTATTCTGGTGGGTCCGTAGGTGACTGTGGAGCCCTATTCTTGCTCTGCATCTTCTTCCGCAGTGAGGTCATTGATTTCTAGGTGGAAGGCGGTCTCGGTTGGGATTGGCTTGACGCGCCTTCCTCTTGGCACGTTTCTCTCTTTCGCCCTCCATTCATGCCTCTTCAAATTATACATCACTGCTGGCCACAGCTGACCTCCAGCTGGAGTGCTCAAGGGCCAGAGCTTCCCAGTTCTAAGTGTCTATGCCAGAGTTTTTAAGGTTGGCTTTGAGCCCATCTTTAAATCTCTTTTCCTGTCCATGAACATTCCATTTTCCATTTTTGAGTTCGGAATAGAGCAACTGCTTTGGGAGACAGTGGTCAGGCATCCGGACAACGTGGCCCGTCCAGTGGAGTTGATGGCAGAGGACCATCGCTTCAATGCTGGTGGTCTTTGCTTCTTCCAGCACACTGATGTTTGTCCGCATGTCTTCCCAAGAGATTTGCAGGATTTTCCGGAGGCAGCGCTGATGGAATCGTTCCAGGAGTTGCATGTGACGTCTGTAGACAGTCCACGTTTTGCAGGCATATAGCAGGGTTGGGGCGACAATAGCTTTATAAACAAGCAGCTTGGTATCCCTACGGATGTCCCGGTCTTCAAACACTCTCTGCTTCATTCGGAAAAATGCTGCACTCGCAGAGCTCAGGCGGCGTTGTGTTTCGGTGTCGATGTTGACTTTGGTGGAGAGGTGGCTGCCAAGGGCATCATCATCACCATCACTCATGGCTGAGTATGATTGCCTTCCAAGTATAGGGTCTTGATGGTGGGTCCGTAGTGGTTGTGGAGACCTATTCTTGATCCACATGTTATTTCGCAGTGAGGATATTGGTTTCCAGATGGAAGGCATTTCTGAGAATGCGCCTTCTTCCTCTTGATACGTTTCTCCTTCTCACCCTTCATTTGTGTTTTCTTCAAATTCCACAGCACTGTTGGTAACATCTGACCTTCAGTTAGAATCCTCGATGGCCAGGGCTTTCCATTTCTCTTGCCACTGTTTTTAAGGTTGGCATAAAGCTCATCTTTAAATCTCTTTTCCTGTCCACCAACATTAAGTTGAGAGTATTGTAACTGCTTTGGGAGATGGTAATTGGGCATTCGGGTAACAGTCCAGCAAAGTTGATGGTGGAGGATCATCACTTCAGTGCTGGTGGTCTTTGCTTCTTCCAGAATGCTAACATTTGTCCGCCTCTCTTTGCATTATTTTTCGGATTTGCATTATTTTTCAGAAGCAACACTGATGGCATCATTCCAATAGTTGAGTGTGACGTTTTGCAGGTGTATAACATGGTTGGGAGGACAATAGGTTTATAAACAAGCATCTTGGTATCTCTACAAATGTCCTGGTTTTCAAACATTATCTGCCTCTTTTGAAATAATGCTGCACTTGCAGAGCTCAGATGGTGTTATATTTCAGTATCGATGCTGACTTTTGTGGAAAGCTGGCTGCCAATGTATCGGAAATGATCATTTTCTAATACATTAAGCTGTATTTCTGGCATTGCAAAGCGATTGCCTGGTGCCTGCTGAAAGAGCACTTTCTTAATGAGAGGCCAAGCTTTTTGTGTGCTTCTGCAAAGGTGTTTAGAGTGGCTTGTAGGTCTTCTTCTGAATGAGCACAGACTACATTATCATCAGTATATTGGAGTTCTGTAACAGATATTGTTGTGACCTTGGTTTTGGCTTTCAGTCTTCTGAGGTTAAAAAACTTGCCATCTGTTCAATACATGGTTTTCACGCTGGTGGAAAGCTTCCCATCAACAAGGTGAAATATCATAGTGATGAAGATGGAAAATAAGGTTGTAGCAATAACACATCCTGATTTCCTGTTTGACACCTGATTTCACCTTAAATGGGACACTTTGGGAGCCATTCCTGGCGATGTTGTCACCATGGAGGAGCCACAGGATGTTCACAAATTTATCAGGGCATTCAATTTTTTAGAGGATGGTCCAGAGAACATTGCGATTGACTGTGAAGATTGCCTTTGCATTTACATTAATGCCATGTAGAGAAATTGTTTTTGTTCTCTGCATTTTTCTTGTAGTTATTGTGCAGCAAAGATCATGCACAGGATTTGCGAGAGAAACTCTTTGGTCACAGTGGAGCTGTGGTTAAGGAGGGTATGGTAGTGCTTTTTTCAGGGTACCACAACCTTAGTAAAAGTGTCCAATTCGTTTGACTTCAGCAGAGAGCGGAGAGGGCTGAATTTTGCCCATTCTAAGAATTTCAGACAAAAACCTCTCTGAACTTGTGTATTCCTCCACATTCATATCTTTTCCTGTCTTCACCATACTGTGATACTGCTTGTCCACAGAAGTTCTAATTTTCATATCTGAAATGTTGAAGGGTGTGGATGTATAGAGCAACACAGAAATTGAGCTCTCTAGTCCTGCCTTTTGACTTCTAAAACTCATCCAGAGCTTTAAACTGGGTTTTAAAGCATTTTGCCCATATCTAAACAAGCTTGCTTGATTTCAGCAATTCAAAACTATATAAATGGTTCTGGCCCAACTTACCTGTTCAAACAAATCTTCCCTTATGAACCTGCAAGGACTTTAAGATCATCTGGAGAGACCCTGCTCTTGGTCCCGCCATCATCACAAATATGGTTGGCGGGAATGAGAGACAGGACCTTCCCAATGGTGGTTCCTCGGCTATGGAACGCCCTTCCTAGGGAGATTAGATCGGCTTCCTTGCTCCTATCATTCCAGAAGAAATTTAAGACATGGCTATTTGAGCGGGCATTTGAAAATACAGAGTAACGGATATAATAATGGAATAACTATATGGTGGAACTGGCCATTGTTTTAATGATTATTGATTGAAGTATGTTTCATTATAATGTTTGATTTTATTGTTGCTGGTGTTTTTATATTGTATATTGTAATTGTGTCCTTGGTGGCATTGAATTCTTGCCTTGTAAACCGCCTCGAGTCGCCGGAAGTCTGAGAGGGGCAGTATAGAAATGTACTAAATAAATAAATAATATAATATAATTGAAGGAATGGGATCTTGGTCAGAAGTCAATTTCTGTGGTTATTGGGCATAGCTGTGAGCATGCAGGTGGTAGATTGAGGCTTGCCAAGTACCTGGAATTTACCCTGTGGCCCCTTCCCTTCTCTCTCCCTGTCCTGTCAGGCTATGGCTACACCACCCCACTCTCGGATGCTGGCAAAGCCTTCTGCATCTTCTACGCGCTGCTGGGTGTTCCCTTCACCATGCTCTTGTTGACGGCCACCGTGCAGCGCCTGGTTGCCACCTTCACTTCTGGACCCCTGGAGTATCTGACAAGGCACTGGGGGTGTGATCGGCGGGCCCTGTCTTGTGGACACCTATTCTTGTTGGCGGTGGGAGTACTGGTGGCCTTCTTTCTGGTGCCTGCTGCCATCTTCAGCACATTGGAGGAAACTTGGAGCTTCCTGGATGCCTTCTACTTCTGCTTCATCTCCCTTTGCACCATTGGCCTTGGTGACTACGTCCCTGGGGAGCAGCCAGGACAACCACTGCGTTCCTTGTATAAGGTCTCAATCACAGGTAAGCATCAACATGTCAGTAAGTGGGACGGGAGGACATAAAGGTGGATGGCTCTGCCATGTTGCCCATTGAATTGGGACAAGGTGGAGGCTGATATTTCACCAGATTTGGGCCTTCAAGATCCACTCCCAGCTTCTGTCCACTGGACTACAGATGTCTTTTTAGCTCTTCAAACTATTTTGTATTCTCTTTCACTGGTTTGAATCCTAGTGGTCATTTCAACTAATGTAGATCCATTTATTTATTTATTTGTTTGTTTGTTTATCGTGTCAGGCAACCGAACAGTTGTATTACATTTTTGACAGAACAAACAAACAAACATACAAAAGACACAGAGTTTGCAAGCTTGGTAGTTGATTAAATGTCCTTTGACTAGTATCCGGCCACTTGGAGTGCTCCTGGTGTTGCCGCAAGGAGGTCCTCCATTGTGCATGTAGCAGGGCTCAGGGTGCATTGCAGCAGGTGGTCTGTAGTTTGCTCTTCTCCACACTTGCATGTCAAGGATTCCACTTTGCAGCCCCATTTCTGAGGGTTGGCTCTTCATCTCGTGGTGCCAGAGCGCAGTCTGTTCAGCGCCTTCCAAGTCGCCCAGTTTTCTGTGTGCCCAGGGGGGAATCTCTCATTGGGTATCAGCCATTGATTGAGGCTCTGGGTTTGAGCCTGCCACTTTTGGACTCTCGCTTGCTGAGGTGTTCCAGCGAGTGTCTCTGTAGATCTTAGAAAACTATTTCTTGATTTAAGTCGTTGGCGTGCTGGCTGATACCCAAACAAGGGATGAGCTGGAGATGTCTCTGCCTTGGTCCTTTCACTATTGGCTGCTACTTCCCGGCGGATGTCAGGTGGTGCAATACCGGCTAAGCAGTGTAATTTCTCCAGGTGTAGGGCGCAGACACCCGTGATAAGGCGGCATGTATCATAAAGAGCCACATCCACTGGTTTAGTGTGGTAAGATGTGTTCCACACAGGGCATGCATACTCAGCAGCAGAGTAGCATAGCACAAGGGCGGATGTCTTCACCGTGTCTGGTTGTGATCCCCAGGTTGTGCCAGTCAGCTTTCGTATGATATTGTTTCTAGCACCCACTTTTTGCTTGATATTCAGGCAGTGCTTCTTGAAAGTCAGGGCATGGTCCAGGGTGACTCCCAGGTATTTGGGTGCGCTGCAATGCTCCAGTGGGATTCCTTCCCAGGTAATCCTCAGAGCTCGGGATGCTTGTCTGTTCTTAAGGTGAAAAGCATATGTCTGTGTTTTAGATGGATTAGGGATCAGCTGGTTTTCCCTGTAGTAGGCAGTAAGAGCGCCTAGAGCTTCGGAGAGCTTCTGTTCAACCATCTCAAAGCTCCCTGCTTGGGCAGTAATGGCACGATCATCTGCATAGATAAAACTCTCTGTCCCTTCTGGCAGTGGCTGGTCATTTGTGTAGATGTTGAACATGGATGGGGCAAGCACGCTTCCATTAAATTCATTGGATGTTCTTACCAGGTGATAGACCATTCAGCAATTACACAATTTAACAAAATTTGAATTTTTTTCCTATTTCTGATTTGAAAGTGTTACTGTTTAATTGTGAGGTACTTACTTTGAAAGTACTTGTTATACTCCAGAAACTTCTTTTTTGTGCCTGCCACAAACTATGTTGGATTGGTTGAGACTTGAGAAGATATTAAATGAAAAACTATAGGAAAAATGTGCTGTAGGATTATTTATTTTATTTACAGTATATATACGGGGAAGAGGAAGAGAAAGAAGGAAGGAGAGAAGGAAAGAAAAAAAAGGGAAGGAAGGAATGAAAGAAGGAGAGAAAGAGGGAGGGAAGGCTGGCCACAGCAAGGCATGGCGGGTACAGCTAGTATTAATAATTTTGTGTGTTCGTGTGTGTACACTAACTATCATAAGACAAAGGAGTTGCTGTATGTCTCGCTCAGCCCTATGGACAATTTTGGAGTGTTTTGAAATTCCAGATAAGGGATGCCCATCAATTTAATCTATCAGTCCACTTGTGGAGACATAAGACCCCAGCTGATTTCTGGCCACATTAAATAAATCATGAAGTTTTCGGTGGAAGGACCTCTTCTCTCTGTTGCACCCTTTTGCCTCTACTCCAGGCTCATACATTTTCTGTGCCTTCTTCCAGTGTACCTTCTTCTGGGCTTGATGGCTATGCTCCTCCTGCTCCAGACCTTCCACAAGATGGCAGACTTGCATGGCCTCTCGGACCTGGTCTTGCTGCCTCGAGATTCCTCCGCAGAAGACCATCAGCGCATCCTCGAGGAACACGAAGCTCCCTCAGAGACAGAGCAGACAGAGAAGGCGCCAGTGCATTCTGGTAACGGCACTCAGGCCGATTACTCCTCCATCAACAGATAGCCCAAACTTGCGTCGGAAGACAATCAGAACAAACCTGCAGTACAGCAGCCTGAAATGACCCAGCAGAGGGTAACTGCTTCTTGGTCAACGGATGGCTACCTGCTATATTGCTCTGGGCCGCTTTTCTCCTTCAGCAGATTCCGTCCCAGTTCTTCTGGCTCCTGGCGGTATGCAACCACTGACCACTCAGGAACAGGAAAACTCATACAGATCTCCAAAATGAAGAAAATCAAGCTGTTTCATTGGGGGAAAGTGAGAGGGAGGGGGCTTTGTTCGTTTTCAGATTTATCTTGGAAATAATGTTATTTTAAAAAATGAATAATGGGAAAAAGACCTGGAAATGTCTCTGCAAAGAGAGGACAAATGATTCTGTGAGATGGGAAATATTGAGCGAAGTCTTTCTTGCCCAGTTCTGAAATCTGACTTGATGCTGGCCAGATTTGTTCCTGGCATCTTACATTATGTCCACCCAGGGAATATTTTCTCCTGCCAAGTCCTTGATGGAAATTTCTATGGAGTGTTGTAAGTTTTTCGGGCTGTATGGTCATGTTCCAGAAGCATTCTCTCCTGATGTTTCACCTGCATCTATGGCAGGCATCCTCAGAGGTTGTGAGGTCTTTTCCTAGTTTATTATTATTTATTTATTTTGAGCATTTCTACCCCGCCCTTCTCAACCCCCGAAGGGGGACTCAGGGCAGCTTACAAAAGGCACAATTCGATGTCAGCAATACACATAGTAAGATAAAATACGTAGCAGCAACAATTTTAAATAGTTAAAACAATCCAATTATCCAATAACAACTAATAAAAGCCAATCTAGTATTCAAGGTTCACCAAGTTCAAAATCCGTAAGTTCATTCCAACATACCTCACAACCTCTGAGGATGCCGTCCATAGATGCAGGCAAAACGTCAGGAGAGAATGCTTCTGGAACATGGCCATACAGCCCGAAAAACTTAGAACAAGTCAGTTATTCTGGCCAATGAAAGCCTTCGACAATACAGTTTCTATTGAACTTTGCTGTCTCGCTAGAGAGGGAGAAAGCCTTCCATCTCCACTGTTCCTCCTTTCCAGATTGTGTCTTTTGCCTTGTTTTTATTTATCCTGTGGACAGAAATGGGTTGTGTTCTTCTGGAAAGTGTTAAGGGAAGATTCCCCAGAGGGCGAGGGTGTGTTTTAATTCATAATTTGAAAGTTTTGTTATTGTTTCAGGAAGATTTGGTTCATTGGGGCATATGGGGAAACTCGCAAGGCTAGTTTTTCTGTCATTTTTATGGCTATCAGGATGAAGCGTGCCACATTTGTAGACCATATTGACAACTGCAAACCTGCCAAGTTTCAGAACGTTTTGGTCTTCCACTGATTTTTAGGAAATGTTTAAACTTTTTACAAATAAAATAACTTTTTAAAAAACTCTTGATTTTTCTCTACAGAGATGGAACATGAGCAGAACATCATTCCTGCAAAGTTTCAGAAAGATCTGGTGATTCGCTGATGTTTAGTAATTTTTTTCCAATCTAAGCATCTTGGGCAAGTCACACTCTCTCAGCCTCAGAGGCTTGGGGAAAAAAGCTATTGGGATTGCCCAAATTCCCTTTGACTTCTTTGCTTTCACTGCAAGGAAGTGAAGAGCATAGGACTGGATGGATCCTGGGGTCTTCCACTGAAAAAAAGTTTATGTTAGCCAAAAAGTTTGCCCATGCGTGATATATACATTATATATAATATACAATAGGGTAAAGGTAAAGGTTTTCCCCTAAGTCCAGTCATGGCTGACTCTCGGGGTTGGTGCTCATCTCCATTTCTAAGCTGAATAGCTGGCGTTGTCCATAGACACCTCCAAGATCATGTGGTTGGCATGACTGCATGGAGCACTGTTCCCTTCCACCAGAGTGTTACCTATTGATCTACTCACATTTGCATGTTTTCGAACTGCTAGGTTGGCAGAAGCTGAGGGTAACAGCGGGAGCTCATGCCGTTCCCTGAATTCGTACTTGCGACCTTTCAGTCAACAAGTTCAGCAGCTCAGTGGTTTAACCCGTTGCGCCATCGGGGGCTCCATAATATACAATATTATATATATTATATATTTAAATTTCTTGGGGCTTGTATGTCAAAGCCAATGTCCCCAATGAAATAAATTGATATTCAAGCCCCCCCCCCCCAAACAAAACGCAACCTGCTGGACATTGTTTTGACATACGAGCAAATTGAATTATTAACTTGTTCACAGAATAAATTAGTCATATGTCAAGGTTTCATATCTACAATTTGACCATTTATTGAATAGGAATGCCTATTTGCATACACATGGGATTGATGTGCTTTTTGATTTCCACATAAAGAATTAAATATTGACTGAAGATTTGATCCTCAGGATGTAAGCGCATTCAACATTTTCATGCCCTACTTGGTTTTGAACCTCCATTGAGCCCCTGGTGGCGCAGTGGGTTAAAGCATTGAGCTGCTGAGCTTGTTGACCAAAAGGTCGCAGGATCGAATGCGGGAAGCGCCGTCAGCTTCCGCTGTCAGCCCCAGCTTCTGCCAACCTAGCAGTTCAAAAACATGCAAATGTGAGTAGATCAATGGGTACCGCTCAGGCGGGAGGGAAAGTAACGGCACTCCATGCAGTCATGCTGGCCACATGACTTTGGAGGTGTCTATGGACAACGCCGGCTCTGGCTTAGAAATGGAGTTGAGTACCACACCCCAGAGTTGGACACGACTGGACTTGTCTGGGGAAAATTTTTACCTTTACCTGCAGAATATACTCTATTGGCGCTCCTTGTTCCACCTGGATTCATGTAAAGGCCTAAAACAGCCACTAGGTGGCAGGTGACATAATTTCTTCCTGACCCCCTAGACCAGTGTTTCTCAACCTGGGGGTCGGGACCCCTAGGGGGGTCGCAAGGGGGTTTCAGAGGGGTCACTAAAGACCATCAGAACAAAACAGATTTCTGATGGTCTTAGGAACTCTTTTGGCAGACAAGACTGAAGATCTCTCTGCCTGCCCTTCTCTTCCTTTTTG